TGCCAGGTAACGCAGGGCGCGCCCACTGAGGTGCCAATCAGTAACGCAAGTACGGTGTGGGAGAGCGACCACGCACACTGGGACGCACTTGCCGAAGAAGGCGTCCTGGAAGGAGGGACCCTGCAGTCACGAACTCCCAGCAACCATGCGGCAGCCAAAACACGAGAGAAAACGCTGGCGTTCATTAGCAGACTGTCCAGGTAAGCTCGTCGAACTCAAAGTCATTGAACCCTTACGGCCATCACAGACATAGAGAAACGAGCAGGCAACCCCGAGGGAACAGGGCGAACGACATTGAGAGACGGGCGCAACGCGAGGACGACGCGCCAAGCGAACGCCGAGGAGACAAACGGCTTCCAGGTCCCCAGGTAGTAGAACGCGTAGTCGGGCAGCGACATCGCGGTGAAGAGCTGCTGTGCGAGGAGGAACCGGCAGGCGGCCGGGCTGCGGCCGCTCCGCGCCCTCCAGCGGGCAGGTCAGAGGCCCCCCAGGCGGGGGCGAGCACAGCGCTGGAGGAAAGAGTCACGAGCAGCGCGACCAGCCATCGCGCCGAGCCGGAGGCAGCTGCAAGGGCCGGCACGGCGACGCCGTTTCTTTTTCTTTCCTCCTCGCTCCGCACCCGCGCGACGCGCGGGGCGCGCTCCTCCCTCCGCTCCCCTGCGAGCCGCTCTCTGGCCCGGTCCGCCCCTGCGCGGTGGCCTGCCGAGAAGCTGCCGGCGCACACGCGCGGCTGGAGCGCACGCGGGGGCTGCGTGTGCGGCCGTGGGCCCCTCTGGTTGCCCAGCGCTCTTCTCCTAACCAACCCCGTCCGGCATGGGCCAGCCGTGGCCACCCGAAATCAGCACACTGCCATCCCCTCCCGTTCTGCCACCGTCCACGCCTCCGCTGCCGTCCCCCACTCCTCCTCCCGACATGCAGCCACTGCCGCAGTCACTTCCTCCTCCTCCTCCCGCCAAGCAGCCACCGCCCCCTCCCGCCGTGCAGCCACAGCCGCCCCCCCAGCCGTAACCCCCCACGCCGCCACAGCCATCCCCCCACGCTCCTCCGACCGTGCAGCCACTGCCGTCACAACCCGTTTCCACTGTCGACCCTTCTCGCACGTGCTCGTCGCAGTGCTGTAGCTGTGGAAGGAGGGCTGAGGAGGCCGCGCGAATCGCACTGGTACTACTACTGGGGTGGGTCGGTGGTTGGTCGTGGTGCTGTTGGAGTTGGAGGTGGAGCTCATGGTGTCGGTCAGATGCTGCTGGAGTCAGCCGTGGTGCAGCTGCGGTTGGTGCTGATGCTGCTGAAGTCGCACTGGTGCTGCCGGAGCCCTTTAGGGCGTAGGTGGTCTAGGGAGCTTCCTCTTCCAAGCACCTTCTTCCCCCTCGGGGAGGGGTTTATGATTTTCCTAAAAATAAACACCCCTCCCCCACCTAGGCGGCAGCCAACCCGGAACCATGCGGGCACCCCCCCCTCACCATCCCTTTCAAAAAAAAATGCAAAATGCACATTGCGGGGCCCACCCTGCCAACACCCTCTACAATCCCTGTAAAAAACAATACGAAGTGCACATTGCAGCACACTCTGGACAGTGCGCTGGCGCCCTGTGAGCACGTTGTATTGTTTTTTGACAGGGATGGCGGGCCACCCTTAGTGAAACCGCTTTGTGCAGGACCACCATCCGTGTCAAAAACAATGCAAAGTGCACGTTGCGACGACGTCGTGGGTATTGTGCTGGCCAACCGCGATCACTTTGTATTTCCCCACATCCAAAGTGGGGTTCTTGTTTTCTCTGGACACCCCGCGCAGGAACAGGAACCCACCATCATCATCATCATCATCATCATCATCATCATCATCATCATCATCATCATCATCATCATCATCATCATCATCATCACTCATTCCTCACTCACTCACTCACTCACTCATCATCCCTCACACACTCACTCACTCACTCACTCACTCACTCACTCACTCACTCACTCACTCACTCACTGATCAGCACTCACTCACTCACACGCTCATGAACACTCACTCACTCACTCACTCACTCACTCACTCACTCACTCACTCACTGATCAGCACTCACATATGATGATGATGAGTGTGCGCGTGAGAGAGTGTGATGCACATCATCATCACCAGTCAGTCAGTCAGTCAGTCAGTCAGTCACTCACTCACTCGCCTTGGGCCTCGTCTGTGAGTGAATTGCGAGGAAGTTTCAAGCGGGAACCCCCTCCCTATGGGGCCCGCGGATCATGTTACTAATCCGAGCGGGTCATCCAATTCCTATAACTGTCGCCATTTTTGGGTTCTCGCGGTGCCAGAACGCCATTCCCAGGCCACATGGGCCTCGTCTGTGAGTGAATTGCAAGGAAGTCTCAAGCGGGAGCCCCCTCCCTATGGGGCCCGCGGATCGTGTTACTAATCCGAGCGGGTCATCCAATTCCTGTAACTGTCACCACTGTTGGGCTCTCGCGCTGCCAGAACGCCATTCCAAGGCCACACGGGCCTCGTCTGTGAGTGAATTGCAAGGAAGTCTCAAGCGGGAGCCCCCTCCCTATGGGGCCCGCGGATCATGTTACTAATCCGAGCGGGCCATCCAATTCCTGTAACTGTCACCACTGTTGGGCTCTCGCGCTGCTAGAACGCCATTCCCAGGCCACATTTTGAATGCCCAGAGCCAACTGTAGGCCACTTCGTGTTCTTCGTGCTCCCAGAACACAATTCCCTGGCCACATGTTGAATGCCCGGAGCCAACTGTAAGCTGTAAGCCACTTCGTGTTCTTCGTGTTCCCAAAACACCACTCCCAAGCCACATTCTGAATGTCCGGAGCCAACTGTAGGCCACTTCGTGTTCGTCGTGTTCCCAGAGCGTTATTCCCGGCACGTATCCCCGCGCCAGGGCGAGAAGGAATATTCGCAGAAGAGACAGCCAGGACGCCTCACCAACCACGAGGACGACGGTGAGGGCTTTTTCCAGGTTCGCCCAGAGGATTCTCATGTGGGGTCCTTCCGTCGGAGTAATGTTTTTGTTGACAGGGACGGCGGTGGTGCCCACATGATGATGCTTGCTGTGCGCAGGCCCAGAACAATGCTGACGCCCCCCACATCAGCATCTGGACACTGCGGACGGGGGGGGGGCATGACGTTTTGTGTTTTTACGGATGGCACACCAACTGCATGTGGAGCCCGCGGCGAGCGTCGCGCACCTGGCGTCCGCTTTGGTTCCCAGTGGCTGTCCATCCAGTGGCGACCCCTGGCTATGCCGAGACTCGGCTGCCACTTGTGTGGTGGGAGGGCGGGTGGGAGTGAGCTAGACGGCTTGCGTGCAGCGAGGGTGTCTTGACCCCTCCCCCTAACCCCCTCCCCTGGACCTGGACGGGGGAGTTGGAGCGTCCAAAACGGCCTCGGCGAGGGTGCCAAAATCACTGGTGTTACTAAGGTTTGGGCCCCATTTTGACCTCCTGGGGGGTGGCTAATTAGAGAGCTCCCCTCCTCTGATCGATCTCACCCAAGATGGCCCAAAGATGGCCCCAAAGGCGCCCAAGGGTGCCCCAAGAGGGCCCCAAGAGGTGGCCAGGAGGCCCAAAGAGGCCCCCAAGAGGCCCCCAGGATGCCCCCAAGAGACCCCCAAGAGAGCCCAAGAGGCCCCAAGAGGCCCCCCAGAGGCACCCAAGACGCTCCAAGATGCCTCGGCGAGAATGTCAAAACCATTGTTTTACTAAGATTTCGCCACATTTTGACATCCTGGGGGGGCACTGATTAGGATGACTCCAAGAGCGCCTGGGAGAGCCGAAGATGACCTCCAAGATGGCTCAAGATATCCCACGATGCCTCAAGATGGCTCCCACGATGCTCCAAGAGGCCCCAAGACCGATCCAAGACGGCTCCAAGTGACCAAAGAGCTCCCACAGGAGGCCCCGAAGAGGCCAAAATCCTTCAAAAACCTTAGGAGAATCAATGTTTCTGGCTTTCTCTCCTTTTCGCTTTCGATGGCCATCCGAGGCCTCGAGATGGTTCTATGATGGCGCAAGAGGGCTCCAAGAGATGCTCAAGAGAGCCCCAAGACGGCCCCAAGAGCGCCCAAGAGGGCTCCAAGAGCGCCCCAAGAGCGCCCCAAGAGGCGACTTGTTGGGCTCGGGGCAACGCTAATTAATGCTCCCCTCCTGTTTGATCGATGTCCTCCAAGATGGCCCCAAAAGCGATCCCAAAGCTCCCAAGAGCGCTTCAGGAGGGCCCCAAGAGGCGCCCAGGAGGCTCCAGGAGGCCCCAACAGGCGCCCAAGAGACCTCCAAGAGGCTCCCAAGAGACCCCCAAGAGGCCCCAAGAAGCTCTCCGAGGCACCCAAGACGCTCTGAGAGGCGTCCGGGACCGCCAAGAGGCCCCCAAGACGCTCCAAGAGGCATCCACTGGGAAACCCTTCCTCTGCGTGCTGCCCCCTTCCCTGATCGATGCCATTCCTCTGGGCATCGTTTCTGGATGGGCTGGTGGGGTCACGCGAAGCGTCTAGAATTGTTGTTGTTTGTCTTTCGGTTGTCTCCCGAAGCTCGGACAACTCGCTCTGCCGCGTCCTTCGGCCAAGCGGCACGTATGGCACGCTGCGAAGGTGCCGACGGGGAAGCCAGGCCCCCGACGCGCTGGTGGCGTGCGCCGCGCGCCCGCGACGGTGCTATGCGAGGGCTCTCCTCGGGGCGCACTGGTCGCAGCCCCGAGGTCGGCCGGCGGGCGGCGGGGGCTAACGAAGCTCGGTCCTCAAAGACGCGAGCAGGACAAAGACGCATACGGCCCGAGCGGCATGGGGCACTCGGGCCCCGGCCCCGAAGGCAGCACGCCGTGCCCGGATATGCTGGCAGGCATGGGCCCCGACTTCCTAGAAACGGCACGCCGACGCGCGCCCCTCGGCCGAGAGGTGCCTGCAGCACGCGTCGGGGATGGTGGGAGGCCCTCATTAACGAAGGGGCCCCTGCTGGAGTGATGTCCTCCTCCTGCTCGTCCTCTCATGCTGCTCCCGCTCAGGCCTTGAACAGTGACTCGCGGCTTATGATGTGAGTGGAGCGATTGAAGTTGGGCAGGTTGGGGAAGACCGCTTCGAGCTCCTCCACGCCCATCCACTCTGCGATCGGCACCATGACGCTCTCCCAAGGATGCTGGGGGATCACGCGGCCGCGGCCGGCATCGTACTCAGACTCTGGCATGTACGTTTGCAAGAATTTGTTAAAAATCTGGCCCCCGTGGATACCGCCGCCGATGACGATATGATTTCCACCCCAGCCGTGGTCCGTCCCGGCGCCGTTGGACGTCAGCGTGCGACCAAAGTCCGAGTGCGTCACGATGACCACGTCGTCGAAGACACCCTGCTGGGTGAGCTCCCCGACGAAGTCCCTGAGCGCCCCGTCGATCTCCGCGAAGCTCTCCGAGAGCCTGTCAGTCTGGCCAGAGTGCGTGTCGAAGCCTCCGAGCTGCACGAAGAACAAGTCCCGCTCCGCGAGCCGGAGGCTCCGCCCCTTGATCAAGCGGGCCACCTGGTGCAGCTGCTTGGCGAGGCCCGTGCCCGTCGCGTAGGTGGCCGCCGTCTCGAGCGTCACGTCGTCGAGGATGGCACCCAGCGCCTCGCTGCTGCGGACGTGGTCCGCGAACGCTCGCGTGTACTCCTCGCAATACACACTGCCGTACTTCTGCCTGGCGATGCCGCTGACCGTGGCGCTCCAGACCTTGTACCTGTTGAAGCGGATGGCGCCGCCGGCCTTATCGATGATGTCGGTGCTGGTGTTGTAGCCTCCAGACCAGGTGGACGTGCCCGAGATCGAGAAGGACGCGACCGCCTTGCCGTGCGAGGCGGCGAGCGCGTCCGCCATCCTCCCCCCCGCGCCCCTCGGCGCCGCGCCAGGGACCTGACACTTGAGCGTGTGTGCCGCAGACTGCAGGTGCGAGTGGGAGAAGAGGCCCAGGCAGGTCTTGGCACCGCCACCCCTGAAAGTGTCCCTCGTCACGGGCTCCACGAGGGCCCCGACGCTGCTGACGAAGGCCGCCTGCCTCTTCTCCTCGTACAGCTCCCGCAGGAACGGCAGCGATGGGTGGATGCCGAACTGACCGCACGGCTGCGCGCTCGAGGCGGTCACGGGCAAGAGGCTGCCCTGCGCGATGGCCATGCTCGTGCGCGCGGCCGCGTACTCCTCGTAGAGGCCGCACCCGATGGGGACGATCAGGTTGTACGTGTCGGCGCCGCCGTGCAGGAACAGCATCACCACCGCCCGGTACGAGCCGCCTGGGCTGGGAGGCGGAGCCGCCGCCTCGTCCACGGGGCGCTGCCCGTTGTGCTGCGGCGCCCCGAGGGTCTGGAACTCGGGCGTGAGCACCACGGCCTGTTGCGCCCCCCCCAGGCCGTGCTCCTCGTACGCCGCCCGGACCAGCTCCCTGGTGGCCGGCGACAGGCGCCCGCCGGTGAGCAGGATGTCCAGCTCCTGCACGACGCCCTCCGCGTCGGGCGCGGCGGCGGCGAAGTGGAGGCTGCCCTGGTGGCACTCCCTGCCGCTGCCGGCGCTGCCGAGGCCGTCGTCGCACTTGCTGACGCCGTGTTCCAGCAGGGAGGCCACGCCGTTGAGGAACCCCATGGCAAAGGGCGGGGTGAAGATCTGGAACTCCGGAGCCACCAGCGGCTCGGGCTCCGGCTCCGGCTCGGGCTCGGGGTCCGACCCTGGCTGGGCCGCGGTCGTTGAATCGAGCTCCTGCTCCAGATCAGTCGCCATGCCAGCGAAGCGGGGCGGCTGGTACATCGCGTCGTAGAAATTGAAGACGGTCGGGGATCTGTAGGGGAACTGCCCGATCATCGCGTCCAGATTCCGGAAGACAACCTCCTCGTCGGCCATGTCCACGTACTCCATGGACCGCATGATATGCACCAGCTTCAGCATCGGCTCACGGAGCAGGCCAGCCGCGCTCGAGTTTGAGGACCGCGCCTCTGGGTGGAGCAAGATGGCGCCGATCGTTGCGCCGAGGTCGCCGTAATGGCCAGAGTACGCCACGCCATCATGGTAGCCCGTGGTGAAGGCGCGCACCACCGACTCCAAGTACGCCGGCGACGGGTTAGAGGTGACGAAGCGCTGAATCAGCTTCTTGCTGATGAACACGGGAGTGTTTGGGTGGCGAAACAGATGGTCCAGCAGGCTGTCGATCTCCGCCCTCACCGCCCGCTCCAGCGGCCAGCCGACCTCCCTCAGCGGCCCCGGGGCAACGAAGACAGGCGGGTTGCGGAAGGTGGCCGACCCCACGCGCACGACGCTCTGCTCGTTCTTGTAGAAGCGCCCGCCGACCTCGAAGACGGTGTCCACGTCTGGGGGGGACGACCCCCAGACCTTGACGTCGCCGCTGCAGGGCTGGGCGCAGGCGGCGCCCGGCGGGGGCGCGAACACGGCGACCTTGAGGAAGGCGAGCACGTCGTCTCTGGACGGCGTCGTGGCGAACACGGCGGCGGCCTCCACCGTTGCGCTGTACTCGCCCGCGGGGGCGCGGTCGGGGCCGATCCAGCTCACGCGGAAGCGGTTCTGCTGGTGGTCGTCCGTGTGAGCGCTGATGGCCCCGTCGGCGTGCACCTGCACCGAGATCGAACAGGCCTGAGGGGTCCACACTCGACCCCCCTTCGGCTCGCACACCTCGTCCACCTTCGCCGGGCACAGGCTCAGACCCTGGGTTGCACAGAAGGCCTCCGCACCGCCGAGGTCGGAGGCCTCCCCGCAGGCCACGCGCTCCACGTACTCGCCCACCGAGCAGTCGTCGCCGGGGTAGCCGACCCCCGCCTCCCAGCAGGTGAGCTGGCAGAACTTGTGGGCCTCCCAGTTGGAGCCGCCGCTCCTGCACTTGCTCGCGGTCATGACTGGGACGCCCCCCCTGCTGACCCACGTCTCGCTGTGGTTCGCGCAGCCCCGGCCGTTGCGTGCCATCCAGCTCGTTGGGTTGTTTCGGCACCCCGCGTTGCAGCATGACGCGCTGGCCAGGCGGCCGTATGGCTGCGCGCACTCCAGCTCGTCGAAGGACTGCCCGTCCGCGGTGTACCTCCCCTCGAAGAAGAACGGGTGGACACACGCTGGCGGGACAAACTCGTAGTAGCCGCACCCTTGAAGGTGGACGCCGGCAGGGCATGCCACCTTGAAGATGAACGCGCCGTCCAGTAAGCACTCGGCGCCATGGCAGGCGAGCGCGGACGACAGCGTGCGCGAGGGCGCGGCGCGGCAATCCGCGGCGTCGCCGCCGCACAGCGCCCGCAGCAGCTCGGAGCCGGGCTCCGGCTCGAAGACGAGGGCGGCGCAGTCGGGCGGGCCAGTGGTGGCGGAGGCGCGGTAGGCCGCGCGCGCGGCGCGGTCCTGCAGGTGGCAGCTGCCGCTACCGTAGAACGTGAAGTGGGCGCAGCCAGACACCGAGGCGCACCTCTGCTGGCACTCTGCGGCCGACCCCACCTTCGTGGCGCCCTGGCCAGGCATGTTCTGGGGCTCGTGCCGGGTGTCGTAGGAGGTGCAATCCGGCATGGCGGTGCCGCGCCACTCGAAGCGGGCGCCCTGGAGCAGGAAGGGGCGCTCCGGCAGCGAGCTGCACTGCGGCAGACCGTCCCCGAGGTAGCCGCCGTGGAGGTCGTGCTTGGGGAAGAAGTCGTGGTGGCCTGCCCGCAGGTGCATGGGTCGGGTGTTGCTAGAAGTGCCCCTGGCCCAAGGTGCCCCCAGCTTTTCGCTCCATTTTCGAATCCCTGGGGCCCTCTGGGCCTCGTGAGGGGTGCTCTGGAGGCCGCCTGGGCCCCCCCGAGAATCCTGGGGGCACCCTGGGCCAGGGCCCCTTCTAGCAACACCCGAATGGGGTCGATGAGATTCCTGCCGTCCCGGAGCTCGATGTTGTTTCGCGGCGGGGGGCGGACGAAGCCCGTGAAGACGCGCGCAAAGCTCATGATGTTGTCGTTGTCGTACGTCGGCACGTCGGCGCCCTCGTCGTCGACCTGTACGCGCCCGTCTGGCGTGAACTTCACGAGGCCGATGGTGAAGAGCTGCATGATCTCGCGGGCGTAGTTCTCGTCCGGGTAGGAGCCGCTGGCGTCGTAGGACCTGCTGCCGACGAACGTCAGGTACTCGCCCATGAGGGGCGAGAAGGTCACCTCCTGCAGGAGGCTCCGGAAGCTGCCGAAGGCGCCTCGCACAAAGATGTCGTAATAGGCCAGGAAGAGCTCGTTCCACGCGTCGTGGCTCGTGCCCGAAGACCCGGCCACGAAGATCTGCGACAGGGCCCACGCCATCCGCTGCCGCAGCTGGTCCTGCCCGCCCAGCGCCCTGGCGAGCCACACCGTGCCCTTCCCCAGGCTGCTGGACAGCGGCGGCCAGCGGGCGCGGTCCGAGCCGTACCTGTTGTCGTACCGCGTGTCCTCCCGCGCGTCGTCCGTGTGGGCCGCGCGGAGGGGCAGCTGGTGCCCCTCCGTCGGCAGGTTCTGGACCTCGCCAGGCGAGCCGCAGAGGCCGAGGTCGCTGCCAGGGGCGCTCTCCTCCCCCTGGAGCTTGCACGTGTTGTCGGCGAGCTCGACTCTGGCGTCGTAGCGGTAGAATGCGCCCAGGTGGCGACCTCGGATGAACTCACTGCCGCTGAGGCTGCAGTTTGGGCTGTCCTCCGAAAGGAACACGAGCCCGGCCTTCGTCGCGCTGGAGTCGAAGGGCAGGCCGGTCCACTCGGCATGGGACGTGTCCGAGAACCAGATCGCGGGGTTCTCCACAAAGCTCCTGCTGGCCTCGGCACAATCGGGCCTCGCGCTCAGGGCCACGAGCCCGCCGACCGCCTCCTCCACGGAGCACACGGCGAGGCCGGCCAGGCCGTCGAAGGCGCCCCACCCCGCCGAGCAGTCGTCGCCATCGTACCGGAAGCCGGCGTCGAAGCAGGACTGCTGGCACACCGTGCCGGCGACCCAGTCGTCATCGTACTTGCAGTACCTCGACATCTGGCTGGCCTTCTGAACACACGTGATCCCCTTCTTCTGCCACCTCTCGGTCGGCACGTCCGTGCACTGCGAGGGCGCGTCGAGGCCATTCTTGGAGAACTCCGGGTCGATCTCCGACCGAAGGGCTCCGTCGACGAGGATTCGCCCGCTGGACACGCTGATCCGCTTCCCGACGTCGGCGACGGAGAGCGCGTACCTGTGCCAGCGCGATCCCTTGGAGCAGGCGGACCGCTCCTTGAAGACGTACTCCACCGCGGGGTCGAAGCGCGGGTTGGCGCGCTGGCGGAAGTGCTCGCGGTGGGAGCCGGCGGGGAGCCGCATCTGCTCCAGGATCCACTCCTGGTAGGTTTTGCCGCCCAACTCTGCCAGGCTGCCACGTGTCGGGCCGAACGTGGCGTGAAGCAGGAACCTCCCGTCATCCTGCTCTCCACGCCCCTCTGCACGCCTGGCCTCGCCGTCGGCCCTCAGCACCGCGCGGGCCCGCCGCTGCACGAGCACGGCCTCCGCCCCCAGCCGCGCGCAGCCGCCGCGGCCGCCGGCGGCGCAGGTGCCGGTGGCCGGCAGCCTCGGCGCGGCCGCCGCCGCCGCCGCCGAGGCGAGGGCGAGCTGCAAGGCCGTCCAGCGCCGTGCAGCCATCGGGGCGGCGGCGGCAACCGTCGGCGGCGAGTCGTGGGAGAGCAGGCCGTCGGGCCGTCGCGGGGGAGCGGCTTGAGCCGAAACAGCTTGGGCCAGAGGCTCTGGACGGCTGGTGGGGATACTTTTTTTTTACAACCGCAGGCGGAGGCGCCGACGGCGAGCGGCTGGTGGGGATACGCGAAGCGTGAAGAATTTGCCTGGTTTGGCCCTTGGTTTGGCCCGGACTGGCCTGGTTTAGTTTGGTTTGACCAGGCACCCCGACTGAGACATATTCAACACTTGCCTGATTTGGCCCCTGGTTTGGCCTGGTTTGGCCTGGTTGGGGGCCAGTTTCGCCTGACATGTCCTCACACGTTGCTTGGTTTGGTTTGGTATTGGCGAGGTTTCGCCTGAGACGTCCTCACAATGTGCCTGCTTTGGCTTGCTTTCGGCGCGGTGTCGCCTGAGTCGTCCTCGGATTTTTTTTCGTTTGGTTTGGTTCCGGTGTGGTGTCGCCTGAAGCGTGCTCAAGGTTCCCCTGGTTGTGGTGCAAGCCCACATCATCACGAGCTGTAGCATAAGGTATGCGGTGCAAAATGTATGGCTGAAACTATGTGAACCATACTATGTGGTGCAGACCCAAATCTCCACAAGCTAAGCGGCGCAAGCTATGTGGCGCAAGGATGCGGGGGAAACTATGTGAGGCAAGCTGCGGGGTGCAAACCCACGTCGTCGCGAGCTAAACGGTAATACATATATACATATATATATATATATATACATACATGCATGCATGCATGCATGCATACATACATACATGCACACATACATACATACATACATACATACATACATACATACATGCATGCATGCATGCATGCATGCATGCATACATACATACATACATACATACTTACATACATACATACATACATACATTACATTACATTACATTACATTACATTACATTACATTACATTACATTACATTACATTACATTACATTACATCACATCACATCACATCACATCACATCACATCACATCACATCACATTGCATGCATGCATACATACATTCATAAATGTATGCATATGTGGTGCGAAATCTATGGTGGAAGCTATGTGGTGCAAGCTACGTGCCCCAAGAGGCCGCCAGAGGCTTCCAAGAGGCCCCCAAGACGCCCCAAGGAAACCCCAAGAAGCCCCCCAGAGGCTCCGAAACGGCCCCAAGACGGCCCAAGAGGTCCCCAAGACGGCCCAAGAGGGCTCCAACGGCCCAAGAGGGCTCCAAGACGGCCAAGGTGGTTGTGTTTCCCCCTTGTGCTGGCGGACCTTACATTATGTTGCAGAACCCTGCCTCGAATTCCGCGCTGAGGCTGCGACGCCAGCCGCGGGCGCGGGCCACGAAAGCCGTAAGCGTTACTCTATTGTTTGACACCAAAACAAGAATCTGCGCTGGAACCGCGGAAGGATACGCTGCTCCGCTACCATATATGGGCGGCGTGAAAACCGCCGACCCCTTGGGGATCATCGGCGTGTGTGATGTGTCGCCCTCCACAACCCCCTCCCCCCAGAGCCCAGTCGGGTTGATTAATTGCGCACGTTGGTGGGCGACCCGCTAGCAACCCATACTGCGCCACTCAATGGAACAACGCGCACGGAACACTAACACATGACACTTTGAGACCCCCCTCACCCCACCCCTACCCGGAAACGCACACGTACACCACAAAGCCTGCATCTGCAGCCGGACTGCCCAGGGCCCGCCCCACAAAAAAACCGACGCACCCAAACAAAGCACCCCAAGGGGTCGGCGGTGTGGTTTAAGCCAGAGAATCAATGGTGGAAGCTATGTGGTGCAAGCTACGTGGTGTAAAATCACACCTTCTCGCGGCGTTGGCCTGGCGCCTGGCGTTAGGAGAAACCTCTCCCGAACCCGTATCAGAGCGATACTTCCGGTCCTGGGCTTATGTTGCTCCCATCGTACTTGAGGACGACATCCCAGAACCAATTTCGATCACCCAGGAAACTATCGAAACACAGTCGAACGAGCATCGCCTCCAAAGGCCCGATACGTGAAAACCCACAAGTTTCGGTACTTTCTCGGTGTTCGAATTTTTATCTGGTGATCAAGGCTTTACTATGTTGGAACATCATAGTCCTGGTCCCGTCTGGCGTCCCTTCCTGCACCAACGTTGTTTTTCACAGTCATCGTGCTGCCGTGAAAAAATGCTGGATGTTAGCCATCATGGACACCAAGGAGCGACCTTCTTGCAATCCACGCGGTGCAATCCAGGTGGTGCAATCAGCGTGGTGCAGTCTAGGTGGTGCAATCCACGTGGTGGTACATTCTAGGCGGTGGTGCTACATGGCTGTCGTACATGAGTTGACAAACTCCATGCTGTTGCAAATATCCCACCCACCCGAACCTTGATTTGCAAAACCCATGCGGCGGCGATTGCGATGAGTGTTTGGCGTTGGCAAGTGCATCTCTGCGGCCGCGCTAGCCAGCGCATGCTCACGCGCACACAGGCCAGCTAGTCTGGTGCGACCGACGCGGCCGCGGTGGCGCTGACCGCTGGGTACTTCCTAACGGGCGTTTCAGTGCGAGTCGGTGAATTAGTCGGGCGCAGTATCATGGCGACGCCGACAACGGTAGACGCGATTCTGAGAGTAGCGATGATGGTGACGATGGTGGCGATGACGACGGCAAGGCCAGATGACGGCACCGATGTTGATCACGCCCGCAGATAACGATGACGATGCCCTCTCGTCCGCGATGAAGGTTTTTGAAAGAGTTCGACATGCGCGCGCGGGCGACGCGTGCGAGTGGCCGGCGTCGTATTATTTGACACGGATCGCCCCCTTCCGCGCCAGCGCGCAAGGGCGTTCGAATGTGTTCGACATGCGGCGCGAGAGGCTCGTTTGGCAGAACTTGATGAAAATGTTGGAAATATACGGTTTTCTTGAAAATCCGCAAGACCGCGAGCGCATGTTGCTGGGCCAAACGCTTTTTATATGCTTTCGGGACACTCGTTGATTTAATCCTTGCGAATCCCCTGGTTTTTGAAGAATTCCGACATGCGCGCGTGACGTCGCGCACGAGACAGTGTCGTGCCACTTGTTGCAAGGGATTCTTGCGACAGCACGCGCGCGAAGACGTTCGAGCGATTTCGGCATGCGCTCGCGAGAGGCACGTTTGGTAGCATGTTATGGACATGTTGGAAAACCTGTGGTTTTCTTAAGACTTAGCAAGAGTGCGGGCGCAGGCTTTTTTGAAAACCCTTGTTGGGAAACCATGTTTGTTCATATGTTTCGGGACATTCGGTGGATTTGAAATCCTTGCGAAACCGCAGGTTTTTGACTGATTTCGGCATGCGCGCGACGACGCGCGCGTGCGCAGTGCCTTCCATTGTTTGCAAAGGATTACTGAAAACTGATGATGCTTGATAAACAATAGTGCGCGCATACCAGTTTTTGCAGATGATGAGGGGGCGATACTGGCCTGCGTGGGATGATATGAGCTCATTTTTATGATGGACGATGCGGCAGAATCATACGTAAGTTGAAATACGAAAAGCTGCACCATTACGTAACCCCAAGGGGAGGAGATCCTGCTACTCTCACAGAAAGGAAAATCCATGCAAGACAATGTAAGGCAATGCAAAGCTATGCAGAGCAATGTAAAACAATGCCAACCAATGCAAATCAATGTAAATCAGCACAAAACAATGCAAAGCAATGCAGCGCAATGCAATGCGATGCAAAGCGATGCAGAGCAATGCAAATGAATGCAAACCAATGCAATGCAATGCAAAGGAATGCAAAGCAGTGCAAGGAAATGCAGAGCGATGTAGAGAAATGCAAAGCAATGCAAAGCAATGCAGAGCAATGCAGAGCGGCGGCGACGGACGGCGGCGGGCGGCGACGAGCGGCGACGAGCCACCTGGGACGGCACTCGGGCTCAGTAACCTTAGAAAGGAAGTAAGAACCCCGAAAGGCGAGCACTGGTTTGGGGGAAAAAAACGGAGGGGCTTTGCTGGCCACTGCGAACCCTGGCCACGAATAGGCTCCCCGACCCAGACCGAAAGAACGGCGTCGGGCGTCGTAGCCCCTCCTGGGTTCAAAGAGGATCCTGTTCCAGCGTCTTGGCTGCATGTCGCCCCTTTGGCGGGTGCAGCACACCTGGGGTGCACCGCCCCCATGCTCTGTCGAAGCGAGGGCTGCGAAGCAGAAGGGTACCCGACGCATCACTTGGCACACCCGGGATGGGGGCAGAGGAATGGGTAGGCAACCACATGTGAACTCTAGCCCAGCAGGTAAATTTCTGAAAAACTGGGCAGGACTCCGAATGTGGAGGATGTCCACAGCCAAGTGACCCCAGCGGGGAAGTCCGATCCCGGATCCCCAACATCGATGGGCCCGTAAGACGAGTAGGGTTCGCAAGTGGTCGCCGAATGGGACGATGTCCGACAGCCACTATTGCACCAAAACGACTGCGGCCGCTGTCGAGCAAGCTACTTCTGTCCCAAAAAATCTGCAACCTCCGCGGCGACAGCGACATCGAGCTTTTCTGTCCGACACCCGTTCAGATCCTCCCGACAAAATTGGTCGTACACCCAAGACGCGGGTCGGGCTAAAGTATATAGCTGGATAGCGCAGGGGAAGCGAATCAACTCACGTATATAGTTGTCCCAGCGCGGCGACACCGACACCGAATATGGTTCAAAATGGACAGGCAAGAGCACTCACAATCGAATCGATAACTCGGATCGGGTCGAAACGTGCGTCGAAT